TTACTGTTAAAGTCTTTACCTTACAATAGAAAGTGCCTTGTAGTGGTTCTAAATATATAAACTGAAAAAAATGAAACAACCTGAAACAAGCAATAAATTATAACAGAAAACAATCAATGTATTTTTGATTGCAAAATATTCCACAAAAACAAAAACAACACATCCTTGCACATGCATTTCTTTAACCGCGTTTTATTGTTTGATCAAGAGCAACTAGAAACCATGTTGACTTGCCTGCATTGTAAAACTAACTCAAAAACAGTGTAGATGTAGCTGCTCCTAGTCTCCCGTTTTGCTGTGAGTTTTAAACACTTTGTCACACACTGAGAACACCTTTGTTACTGAGCAGAAGCTCTGGGCCACCCAGCTGTTGAGACAAACAGATGTTGCAGCCGCTGGGGTCAGTGTTAGGGGTCTCTCTCTCCTTCACCATCTCAATGGACAGCTGTATTTGCTTCTTCACTGGCTTGGAAGAAGGACTTCTTTGGGACCTGCAGGAGTCGAGAGAGGAGTCGGATTGGTGCATATCAAGCTCCAGGCCTGAGCTTTGATCGCTTTGGCTCTCATTAGCTTCTCTTTCCATTGTGCAGAAGATTTGAGTGTGGGGACCATGGCTTGTGGTCATGGTGCCCTCTCTGTGTCTGGTGCCATAAATAGATGTGGGCATTGGCTTTGCCTTGAAGTTCTGTCGCTCCACTCTCTCACCAAACTTTCCAAGCTCTGCCACAATCCTGGCCTCCTTCTTCCTCCTTTCTCTCTCCAAAAACTGAAAAGGCTGTGGTGAGAGTGCAGTAGAGGTCTGGGTGCTTGTAGCATCCGTGTTTCTGTTATTGTCGGTGTTGCTTCTGCTTTGGTTTGACCGTTGACTATTGCGACGGCTGATCATTTCATAGAGAGGCAGGTGTATGTGTGCCGGAGCAGGTGACGCCCGGAACTTTTTCTGGCATTCTCGGAGCTCTTCCAGCTCCTGCCTCAGCAGCGTGTTCTCCAGCTCAATCTCCGAACGTGTGCGCACTTTGTGCTTCTTCCTCTCCTCTTCTCTTAGCATCATCTGGAAAGGTTTGGGAACAGTGACTTTGGAGTTGGGCAGAATTCTGGCACCAGTTTGATCGGACACTCTTGCCTGTGGTTTCGGACAGGAGGTATTGGACTGGAACCGAAACCGGTTCTGGCTCGTCATCCTCTCTGGGCTCAGCAGCACGTCTCTGAGGGAAAATACAGGAGAATAAAATGTGATAGTGAGATCTGTTCATCAGTAATATGCTGATTTAACCACTGAACTTGTGTAGATGTTGCATGGTGAGGGTACAAGTGAGAACACAAATATCTGAGGTCACTCAGATCAGATCAGATCAGATAGCACAAACTATCTCTAATGCTTGATTAAGCCCATATGTAAATTTATTATGATTATGACTATTTTAAATTTCCTTGTGCTTTTTTATTGTTTGTGGGTTTTTCTTTCCTTCTTTATTCTTTTATTTGTATGAATATTTTTTAATTAGTGTATAGCATCAACTCAATTAAACCTCTGTGATTTGGTCACATAAGCAGCAGGTTTTATGTGCTTTGGTTTTAATGAAATTAACAACAGGTGCACTAGTATCATGGTCTCCGAGTCATTGACGCAGGGTTTCGACTTTTATGTATTCACGGTGTATTCTTTTGGATTTGTGATGGTAATTGTGGTCAAGCCTGTCTATTTTGTGCCCTGTGTATTATATTATTGGCACTTCTTCATTTGTCATCTTGCCTTCCAGTTTTTGGTTTCTCTTCAGATGATAATTCCTTTCTGTGTCCGGTCCGTTCAAGTCTTGTCTCTGTTTTGTCTTCTGTCTGTGTCTAGCTTGAGTATCTTTGTCTGGGTCTCAGTGTCAATCATGCCTCCATTTTTATCTCCTGTTCCTGTCAGTTCTCATGTCTTAGTCCGTCTCTCTTTGTTTCTTTACCTTTCTGTCTCAAAGTCAAGCCTGTGATTCA